TAGGTGTATGTGGCTGGCGCCTTAGCCACTTGAGCCACAGGCGCTGAGCAGATCAGGAAATTTTAAAACGTCTTCATGTTCTTGAAGCAGCTGTCCTTTGTATGGGTGAAAGGCAGGAGGCATTGTGGACTAGACAAACGTAAGTGACACGGCTTACTGATCTATGTCCCTGAGCATACTGTGCACACTTGCTAGGAATGTGCATTCTGTAGTTATTGGATGCCGCGTTCTGTAAACGTGACTTAGGTCAAGGTATTTATATGTTCTTTCTCACTTTTTCTCTATCAATTGCTGACAAAAATGTGGATTAATCAATTTTTACATAATGTGTCTTTAAGTAATGTTAAGTACATACAATTTAGGATTATGTTTTCTGACTAAATTGACTTTTTTGTCACTATGAAATGCCCTTCTTTATTTCTGGTAAGAATCCTTGCTTTAAAGTCTACTTTATCTGATATTAATACAGCATTTCAGATTTTTTTTTTTTTTTGAGACAGAGATTCACTTTGTCACCCTCGGTAGAGTGCCGTGGCATCACAGCTCACAGCAACTTCAAATTCTTGGGCTTAAGTGATTCTCTTGCCTCAGCCTCCCAAGTAGCTGGGACTACAGTGCCCACCACAATGCCCCGCTATTTTTTGGTTGTAGTTGTCATTGTTTGGCAGACCTGGGCTGGATTTGAACCTGCCAGCTACAGGTGCCGAGCCAGCCTTCAGACTTCTTATGCCTTAAGTTTATAAGGCGTATTTTTTCTGTCCTTTTACTTTCAAGAGAACATACCTGGGCTTTAAATTTTTATTCTTTCTTTGCTTTTTAATTGCAATGTCTAGTCCAATTCCACCTTAAGGTAATTATTGATATTATATAGTCCCCAATTTCTGTTGACTTTAGTTTCTAAGTCTCTCACATGCTCCTTCCTTCTCCCTATCTCAGTCTTAGTTTATACCTTATTTCTTACTGTAATCTCTTGAGTAACCTTTACCGTTTCAGGATTCTTACTGCAATCTCTTGAGTAACCTTTTCTGTTTCAGGAAACTAGGCTAGGTTAGTCTACTAAATGAGACTCCATGCTGACATAGAAGTGAGTTTTCTCAACTGCTCAGGGTACAAATCCCAGTTCTGCCATATACTGGCTGTATGGGCAAAGGTATCATTTCTGATACCTTGCTTTTTATTCCGAGATACGAGAACTAAAGAGGCTTCTGCTCAGTTAGCTGCCTACTCCACAGTTTGGTTGTGCAGATGGTCAGTTTTCCACCTTCAAATCATTATGATCAAAAGGCACTTTAAGTGCAAAACAAGAACTGGCCCCCAGTAAACAAGTTGCTAGCCTGTCATCCCACCGGGGAGGCTACAACGGCCACGTGGGTAACAAGTAGGAACTTGCCCTTAAGGTTCCTCCTCTAGTGTCAAAGGAGGCTTGGAAACAGGTAAAGGAAGACTGTGACCATAAATTATTTTTAAAAGCTTTTATTGTAATCTCTTATTTTTATACCTGAGTAACAACTTTCCCCAAAAGAATGATAATACATAATCTTTATTCTTAAAAGGACATACAGATAATGTATCAATACCATCTGGTCAGTGGTTATCATTGATTGTCTTAAATAAAAATTATTCGGCTAAAAAGCACTTCCCTTTGTTTTATTTTAGATCTTTGGTGCTGATACTAGACCAGCCCTTGGCTCCTACTCCTTATCATACTCACATGATCTGGCTTCTAGACTCTGACCTCTCTCAAGAACAAAATATAGAGCTTGTTCTAGATTCCCTTTGGGCAAATGTAGTTGGGATACACATCAGGCTGGGACTCAACTTAGCTTTTTTACAAGATTTGTGTTTGCCTTGGGGACTAATATATCCCGGGCAAACCAAGCCTTTGCCATCACAGGGCTACTGAGCAGACATCTTTCTTAGTCTTCTCTTGCACAAAGGAAGGGGTCAGTCAGCCAGGAGATAAAAGTTTCCTTTCAAAAGGAAACAGCATCATATGCCTTGCTGACTTGCAGTTACATACATAGTCTCAAAAGCCTTGCTCCTACTTGTTAAAGGAACGGTCCATGCTGACTTCTCCCTATTTCCCGGCTTATGGGTCTAATAGAGGGGCTGCTACCTCAAACGCTACTACCAGCCAGGTAGGAAGGACCTTGGGCTCCTCATGACCATCGCAACACGTTCTGCATTCTGTGTTTTAATTCTGTGGTGCCTGCCAGGGAACAGTGGTGGCCTCCACTTTATGTCATGTGACCTTCCCCCATTTGGAACATCTTCATCTAAGAAACCCCTACTCTGGGGTCAGCCTATTCTTATTTTTCTCTCATTTGTTCTGATGTTTCAGCTGGACTTGCTTCCACAACAGGCTCTGGCTCCAGAGGAAGAGATGGTGGCTTTGAGAGCTGGGATGTTCCTCCAACACCTAGCAACAAAATAAACAGCTTGAATTCTCAGTTCCACTATTCCAGAAGAAATCAAGAGGAAACCTCATATTTTCTGGGCGTAGTGGGACTGTGGTGTACCTTTGCAGCTATAAGGGAAGACTATAACTAAAAGAGAAAAGCAACAGGCAGGTTTGCCTATAATGAGTCACTGAAAGAAATCTTTAATCACCTACATTGTGTCAACTTACAATAAAGCAGTGAAAAACTAAAGCAAGACTGCATAAGAGAATGTACTTAATATTTCTAGACTTGAAAACCGTAAAGACCCAGGGTACTAACCATTCAACTAAGCCTACAAGTGGCTGTTACCTATTACACAACTTGACTGAGGAAGGAAACAGTCACCCTATGGTTTTTCTCCCTTTTTGGCCAATACTACACTGGACATGTTATGACTCTAAAGAGTGAAAACCACACTCAAAGCTATAATCCCTTTGCTGGCACATGGCTTACACCACTAGGTCTTCATGGAGCTTTAACCTCCTACCTGAGGGGAGCTTCCTGTATGCAGCTGCTGAAGACATCGCCTGTCCTAGAGTCTGATTAGAGCCCAGAGGCTGCTGGATGCTGGCAGGTTTATTGGTGGAAGTAGTCCGGTGCTTTGATTTGCAATCTTTAACTGGTTTAGTCCAGACGAGTGCCTCCCCAACCTGAAGCGCAGCTCCCAATTTCTGAGCCATCTCCACCATCTTGTATCCACAAAAGAAGAAAAAAAGTCACAGGCATGACTGGTCTATTAGACAAGCCAAATGACCTCTTCTGTGGTCTTCTACCAGATGATTTTAGCTGCAATAGCATTTCAAGTAGGAAGGACTTACCATAAGGAAATCATTCTGGAACAGCAGAGAGTACAGATTACCCTTAGTGGTTGGCAAGGGGGCTTGTACAGATCTCAAAACCCAACAAATCAAGTATAGTGCATTACTGGGCTAAACTCCACCTTTCCTACATGAAAGGGGGTGGGAGAAAGCTACAAAGAGACAGACTTCAACTTAGATGACTGTATCAGCAACATAACAGGAACTCAGTAAGCCTGAATTTCCTTTTAGTATTATCTTAGGAAGTATTTCCTAGGCTGTTACTAATTGATGAACTCATGCTGCCAGGAACATCAAAGCCCAAAAGAGCCATAAGCCTATACCTGTACTTGGATTATTTGGGCTTGATCCAATGTCTCCTGGACAGCTTACTTATGACTCCAAGGAGCTAATAAAAACATACCTTAGGCTCGGCGCCTGTAGCTCAGTGGTTAGGGCACTGGCCACATACACTGGGGCTGGCAGGTTCAAACCCAGCCCAGGCCTGCTAAAAAAAACAACAATGACAACTACAACAACCCCCCCCACACACACACACACAGAGACACACAAATATCCAGGCATTGTGGCAGGTGCCTGTAGTCCCAGCTACTTGGGAGGCTAAAGCAAGAGAATTATTTAAGTCCTAAAGTTTGAGTTTGCTATGAGCTGTGATGCCCCAGCACTCTACTGAGGAAGACATAGTAAGATTCTGTCTCAAAAAAAACCAAAACAAAACATACCTCAGAGTCAAGTTCCAGAGAGCTACTGTCCTTCAACAGGCTGACTTTCTTCTCCATCTCCTGATACTGGGCCAGGGCACCCTTCTTTTCACCCTGGTTGTATAGCAGCACAGCATAGTTCAGGTTTACTAAAGGGTTACACCTGTGACAGACAGATAGGGATCCTATGGAGCTGGGGCTCCACAACAAACACTTAAGAGACCCTTCTTATTACACAAAAACATAATAAAACTGGTTTAGTAGACAGTTCTCCATTACACATTACACTGGCAACACGTGCTGTGTGGACGTGTGGAGAAGAATCAAGGAATTAATTGCCCAACCAGCAAAGCAGATTAACAGGACCAAATCTGACATTCCTCCCAGGCCAAGGTTGTAAAAGGGATCCCTACCCTAATGTCTAGCAGAGGCCAGTGGAATAGTCAAGGTCATCTGAGGTTAAATGGAGCCATCTAATATTCCAGCTAGCCCACATCTATCAGCAGCCCAACCCTACTAGCCAGCTCTTTCTCTGCCTCTGACCACTAAATTGAAACTGGAAACATTTTCTCAGAAATGAGCCACCACATGCCTAAGAACCAACCCTTCTACACTTGGGCCTGCTGTGTACAGAGGCCACGGAAGAACTGCTAGGCTGACGCAGGCAGCTCCAGTGCTATGGGCACCTCATGGCTTTGGCAGGTCCAACTCTCCCCAGTACCACCCCCACCAAAGCAGCTTACTTATCCAGGCGGACTGCTTCTGCGTAGGCCCTCTTGGCATTTTCTACATCTTCCAGGTTTGTCAGAGCCACTGCAACAAAGAAAGTGAGCACTGCAGCTGGAAAGTTCCACTCAGAAAACAAATGGTTTAATACTGCCCCCAAACTGAACTCCTCTTTCCCCCTCTCAGCTCATGGCACCACAGTTTACTCAGTCATTCAGCTTAGATCCCTCATGCCATTTTCAACAATCCCTTCTCCACAGTTAATATGTCACCAACTTTTGTGCACCCTATTTTTGCAGTTTCTTTTCTGACAATGACCTCTTTCAGGCTGAAGTAGTTTCAAGCTTTCTATTTCTCCCACAGTGGCAATAACCCTACCTGCTTCCATTCTACTTTCCAGGATGCCACCAGGTATCTCACTGACTTTCAAATCTGACCATGTCACTGTCCTACTTTAAGAATCCTGGCTCGGTGCCAGCCACATACACCTAAGGTGGCAGGTTCAAATCCCCAGCCCGGGCCCGCCAAACAACAATGATGGCTGCAACCAAAAAATGGCCAGGCGTTGTGGCGGGCGCCTGTGGTCCCAGCTACTTGGGAGGCTGAGGCAGGAGACTCGCTTGAGCCCAGGAGTTGGAGGTTGCTGTGAGCGTGATGCCATGGCACTCTACCCAGGGGGATAGCTTGAGGCTCCGTCTCAAAAAAAAAAAAAAAAAAAAATCCTCATGGTTCCTCATTACCTATAACTGTGATCTTTTATTTAGCAAAAGAATATTCCCCCTCCCTATTTAATCAGTATCTCCTTGATGTCTAATATATAAAACAATTTAAAATGAAGCTCTGCCCACTCTGCCTCTCCACCAGCTTTGCACTCACTCCCAAACCAGGCACCTTTGAGGACATCTAGAAGTACAAGTGGACAAACATGGCCTCTAGGAGAGTCCTAAGTCCTGGCATTGTACTCATGGCCCTCCATAACCTGCCTCACCTCCCCTCACAGTCTCTAACACTACTGCCCTCTAACTGCAAGGGACCCTGGGGTTTTCCGGCTGTGTGCCTTTGCTCAGTGGCTCCTCAGCCGCTCTGTGCTACCCCATGCTAGCTTTCCTCCAGGGCCTGACGTGAACTCTACTATGACGCCATCTCTACTATGGAAGGTTAGAACTGCTGCTCATGCCTAACGTTATGGCTGTTTTCCTTTCTATGTCCCATTAGAACTGGGCTATCAATCTGCAAATAACCACCACGTGATTGCTTTTGCAGACTTTCTCTCATGAATAAAAATCCCATAGTAATGACCAAAAAAACCACCAGAACACTACTGTGAATAAGAACGTGGAAACTGCTTTTAGGCTTACATTTAGTAAGTGTGGTGTATGGAGAAAATACTCCTTATAAAGAATATTTAATCAGTACTTTTAAATGGTTTTATGTAATTTTTAAACTATTTAATTTTAACTTACATTTGTGACCAACTTTACTATTTGTATAGCATAAAATAGAGTTTCAGGAATGGAACCACATTGTATATTATGTGCTTAGAAGAGATAAGGGTTTCAACATAAGGTACCTTAATTTAGAACTACCACCTAGGCACCATTTATATTATAGTAACAACAATAATATTCATCATAATAATTATATAACCACAAAATAATTTCCAAAAACCAGTATTTCAATAAAACCAATGAATTATATTCATTGACTATATAATGTAATCCTCACATCAGCCCTAAGCACATATATTAAGTAGTGGAGGCAGAACCTCACTTAAAGCCCAGGCTCTTTTTTTTTTTTTTGCAGTTTTTGGTCAGGGCTGGGTTTGAACCCGCCACCTCCAGCATATGGGGCCAGCGTCCTACTCCTTTGAGCCACAGGTGCCGCCCCAAAGCCCAGGCTCTTAATATTCGCTATCTGGAACTTAGTTGGATTCAATATATGTAAAGATGAAGTGTTAAGTAAAGAGGAAAAAATCAATAAAAGGTGACCTAGGGATGATCTTGATTTAACCTACTAGTTTCTGAATGAAATTCCCCCAGGTTAGAAGCAATCAGTTACTCTGTCATCGTTTTCTATTTCTTCAAGATCTAGGATGGTAATTCAATTCCTATAGCAGGGGTCCCCAGGGAAAGGCTTCATGGAAGACAATTTTTCCGCAGACAAGGGTGGGTGGGTGTGATTTGGGGATGATTCAAGCACATTACATTTACTATACATTTTATTTCTAATATTATTACACTGTAATATACATATGAAATAATTATACACTTAACCACAATACAGAATCAGTGAGAGACTGGAGCTTGTTCTCCTGCAGCTAGACAGTTCCAGCAGTAACATCAGCACCTCTGCTCCACCTCAGGTCACGAGGCATTAGACTCTATAAGGAGCCGCCACCTAGATCCCTCACATGCGCAGCTGACAGTTGGGTCTGCGCTCTTCTGAGAATCTAATGCTGCTGCTGATCTGCAAGGAGGGAGCTCAGGCAGTGATGCGAGTGGTGCAGAGTGGCTGGAAATACAGACCGAGCTCTGCTCACTCACCTGCCACCCAACTTCTGTTGTGCAGCCCAATTCCTGGGGGCTGAGGAATCACAATCCTCTAGGATCTCCAAGCGAAGGGCTTCTCTGGGTCAGTAGCCACTGACCTATGATTCTAATCCATTTTTCCCTTACTACACACTGTGGAGGGGCCTTTCCATATAAATGTCTCTTACCGGCCAAGAGCATGTAAAGCTCCCCCATCTTTGGCTGGAAGTTGATGGCTGCACTGAGAAAATGAAAAGCTGAAGCATACTGCTGCATGGTCAAATGGACGAGGCCCAAATTGTACAGAATCTTCCAATCGAAGGGTGCCAAGTAGTTGGCTCGTTTCAGGCAGCTGATAGCCTGCGGGAGAGAGGAGGCACTAAATGAGGGGGTGGGGCAAGCTAAGCAGACCCACTAACCCTATGTATGAACACAAACAAGGGACACAAGGGGACACTCACTGCCACATATTTCTTCTTGCCAAAGAAACACATTCCGATATTATTCCACAGTGGAGGACTTTCTGGAACAGCACAAGCTACAACTCTGTATTTAGTGAGGGCAACATCAAAGTCCCCGTGGGTCTGCATCATGCTGCCTGCTGCCAAGATGGCCTAAAAACATGCATATATAAAGTTAGTAATCTAGTCACTCCCAAAAGGCTACCGCAGTGAGGCAGCCTTCTTACCTCAGCAAGTCCATCGGTATCAATGGCACAAAAACCCTTCCAGGGACATAAATAACATATTCAGGCTTTTATGGCAAATGTTCCTGAAGTCCCATGCCTCACACTGGGACTCTCTTTAGTATAGTCCAAAAAAGAGAAAAGACGAAATGTCACCGCCTTAGCCATCTGATTTCCTACTTCTAGTTGGGGAAGTCTGCACTTCAGAATGAATACCAGGCCTTTAAGTAAAACCTGCCTTTAATCTGTTATCTGCAGCCCCTGCTTGGTATACTAAGTGCTCTAGCCACCTCAAATATACTTGTCCTTGGCTACTTAAGTTATAGTTCTTTCTGTCATAGAACAGGGGTGAGTCAGCTTTATGCTTCATCAGAGCAGCCCTTTCATTTCTAAGGAAAGGTATCAGGGTAGAGACTCAGCACAGTCAGGATAGTATGACGTCCTAACTTAGGACTAGGTTGGTGTCCTTCAATAAGTAACCTGACTAGGGCAGCACCTGTGGCTCAAAGGAGTAGATGCCAGCCCCATATACTGGACGTGGTGGGTTCAAACCCAGTCCCGGCCAAAAACTG